CCCCCCCCCCCCTCAAAAATGTTAATTCAACACTTTCCAGCAAATAGAGAGTACCCAAATACAGAAACATGGTCTTGCTAATTGTAAAACAGATCTGTTACTATTTACAAACCTTAGATTCACGTTGGCTACTAATTTTTGCTCTTGTTCTTTCCCTCAAGGTGTGTCTTGTACGGATTTTGCTCCCAACCGCCTAATTTTGCTTCCAACGCATTTCTACTTTATTAGAAATGGTATTTAGCGACGGATTTAGCTATGCCTCAATTTTCGTCCCTAAAAATAATATTATTTTTCATTGAAGAGTACATTATCGACGGAAATTTCCGTAGCAAGGTGTTTTAAAAATTTTTAATAAAGGAATTAAGGCTAGCGATGGATTTTTGGGTTCTAATTTTGTCGCTATAGTTAAATAAATTTTGTCGCTTCGTTTTTGTCGCTAAATCCGTAGGTAAATTGAGGGTGCCAATATTTAGCGCCAACAATTAGCGACAAATTTTCAATTTTGTCACTATTTCATCACTATATTATATACTAACTATTTTTTGGCTTTTTTTTGCAACGAAACTATTATTCCGTAGTCAATCCGTCGCTAATCAGCGACGAAACTAAATTTGTCGGTAAAATCCGTCGTTAAATGCTGTTTTTTGTAGTGAATGAACATATAACACCAAGAAGGTAGAATAAACAAGAACAAGTCTTACGTCAACAATGGTTCTACAATACCATCCTCAACTTCATAAATAATACTCAATTATCATAGATAGCCTATAAACACGAAAAGAATGATCAATTTAATAATTAACTAGTCTAAGCATGGATATCATGATCAAAGAAAGCAATAAATTACAAGAACCAATCCCACTCGCATGCTTTAGCCCAACAACAATGCATAAGTACTTGTCACCTCACATATACGTTGTACCAAAAATTTAAACAAGTAGCAAATAAGCAAACAAGTCTTAATCCCTCAAGTCAAGGTTAATCAGGACATTTACCTCGCTCTAAAGATCAACTCAAAGCTCAACCACGACTTTGCCTTTCAAACAAACCTCCGAGCTAACCAAATCTAGCAAATTACTAACCAACCGATTAAAAAATAAGCCTTAGGAACTACCCACGAATGAAAAAGGTTCAATTTTGGTCATTATTTAAAAAGTCAACTCCAAGGCTCGCTTGGTCCAAACCCAGAATTCGGACCAAAACCTGATTACCCAATCACCCCCGAGCCTGATTATGTAATTTATTTCGAATTCCGACCTCAATTTGAGGTCTAAATTCTAATTTTACAAAAATCCTTAATTCTATCCAAACATCAAATTTCCACCACAAAATCCTAGATTTTAGGTTGAAATCTTATGAAATGTAATGAAAAAGTAAAAGAAAGTAGGTTAGAATCACTTACCAATGAATTGATGAAGATCAGCTCTTAGGAAAATCGCCTCTAGGGTCCTCTAGGTTTGAAAGTCTGAAAGAATGAGAAGATTCCTGTCTAACTCAGCTTTTGACCAGTTGCAGATGTCGCAATTGCGACCTGGGGTTCACAATTGCGAACTCCCGCAAATACGAAAAATCCCTCGCAATTGCGAAGTCTTCGCACCTCTGCAATCATCGCATTTGCGATGAAATGTTCACAAATACGAACTCTGGTCCCCCCGTAAATGCGGCCTTTTGATCGTAATTGTGATCCCTTGCTGAGCCAATTTTCTTTGCAATTGCGACCAAGACAGGAACATCGATTCTTCGCAATTGCGAACACTGACATCGCAATTGTGATGTCAGAGACCTACACCAGAACTGAAGCACGCCAACATTTTTCTTGAGTCCAAACTCACTCTGCAGCCTATCATAAACTCATCTGAGCCCTCGGGGCTCCAAAACGAACATGCACACAGGTCAAAAAAACATCATACGAACTTGTTCACGCGATCAAATCGCCAAAATAACACCTAGAACTATGAATCAGACATCAAATCAAATGAATTTTTCAAAAAAACTTTAGAATTGCTATTTTAACAACCGAACATCCGAATAACATCAAACGAACTCCATTTTTCACCAAATTTGACAAACATACCATAAATATAGTAACGGACTTATACCGGGTTCCAAAATCAAAGTACGGACCCGATATTAATAAAGTCAAACATTTGTCAAACCTTTAAAGTAGGGGTGGGCATAAAATCCGAAAAATGAAATTTCAAACTGGACCGAATTAGTTTGGTATTTCGGTATAGGAATTTTGATTCTTCGATATTTCGGTGCGGTCCTCGATATTGCGATTTTAATATTACGGTATATCAAAATACCGAATTATATTACTACACCTTCCTTCACTACCCAATCCAAATTATCAATTTTCAACCCAAAAATTCAATTTATTAGTTCTTACCCCTAGCCAGTAGCCCACTAAGCCCAGTGCCCCAACTTAATGATAGTTTAGGCTTTCTTGGAATTTAGCTAATTGCTTTCAGCAGCACACTGGAAGGTCCATATGCCTAATTGTGATGTAAAATTCAATTACTAAGTGCTCGAGGAAATAGATAATGATGTAATTTCTATTATAAATTATTAGAAGCAAAGGGCAGATTCTGTTGCTATACTCACATAGTGATTGCTATTAGAAATTATTAGAAGGAACTGCTCACATTTTTTTGTTGCTATGCTCATTTATTACGTTATTAGAAATTTTCTAATGAATTAGACTTCAGTAGTTCACCACTGTTTACCTCACAAAGAGTTAGTACAATACTGAAACCGTACCCAACCATACAAGAAGATATCGAACCGTACCAAACTACTTTGGGAAACTGGCCTTGCTTTTGGAAGTGTTACTTAGTTCAAGAAAACACTTACTAAGTATGCAATTCAAGAATATGTAGAGTTACATAAATATGTTAATGAACCAACAAGAGTGAGGGTAAAGTATCATGGTGGTTGTCCATGGTTGTTGTTTGCTAGTTATAATTTTAGAGAAAAAAGTTGTGTGGTGAAGAACTATAATCCATTTCACAAGTATAATGGTACAACCAAGAACATACTATGCAATTCAAAGTACTTGGCAGAAAAATATAAGGATAAAATAATTTTTGAACCAAATATTAGAATCTTTAAATTTCAAGAGTTAGCTCAAAAAGAGTTAGAAGTGTATATTGGAAGGATTGTGATAAAGAAAACCAAATATATTGAGTTATCACAGATTCTGGGGCACCAAGTTAAAGAGTTTGGCAGAATTCTGGATTATAGAGATGAGCTGCTGAGGACTGATCCATATGTTGTGAAACTTAGAGAAAGAAATTTTTTTAAGATGGTAGGAAAATATCTATATGCTTTTATATATGTTTTGATTCCTTGAAGAAGGCCTTCCTTGAAGATTATAGGATGTGCATTAGGTTTGATGGGTATATTTCTGAAAGGTATTTGCAAAGCCAATTACTTGTGGTTGTTTGTTTATAAGGATGAGAATAAATAAATGTTGCCATTGGCTTGGCTAATAACTGAAGTTGAAAACATATTTGCATGAAGATGGTTTGTCAATCTTATATAGAATTATCTTCAGCTTGGAGATGAGACATAATTGACAATTATTGCGGACATGCAGAAGGTAGTGTATATTCTGTTAAGTTTTTGTTTAAATCTTGTAATATTTTTCTAATATTTTAACTATTTATTTTTAAGTATTGCGGGGTCTTGATAAAGCTATCATTGAGATCCTTCCATAGACAGAACATCGGATGTGCTACAGGCACATCCTAGCTAACCATTCAAAAAAATGAAAAGGCTTTGAGAGAAAAAACTATTGTTGGAGATGTGATCGGTATACTCATGAGCAAGAGTTAAAGAAAAATTTCGATCACAAACGAGGGAAAAAATAAACGATGACTTGCTATGCTATAACAAAGAAATATGGTGCAAGATATATTTCAAGTATTTCAGCAATTGCGAGAGTGTTGACAACAATATGGCTGAAATTTCAACATCATGGATATTGGGGCCAAGGCACAAAAGTATCATCATAAAACTCGAAGAGACTAGGGAATTATAATAATAAAAATAGCAACAATAAGGAATTTCTGTGATACTTCAATCTGTGATATTCTCCATTAACACTAAATATGTTGCAAGAGAATACAACAAAACCAATGAAATGTCAGGTTCACTGGAGTGGTCAATATGGGTATGAAGTAAAGGAAGGATTAACCAGTAAGCATATAGTAAATTTAAACAATACACATATAGAGCTTGGATGTTGAAATACCATGCGCTCATGTTATAGCTGCTATTCATTTTAAAAAGTTGGAGTCAGTTAGCTACATTGCACATTGGTACCATGGGGAGACTTATATGAAGACCTATAGTCACTACCTTCAGCATGTACAAAATATGGAGATATGGCCACAGTCACAAAACCCTTTAGTTATGCCACCACAAGTAAGAAAGATGTCAGGCAGGCCCAAGAAAGTAAGGAGGAAAAAACAAACTAAAAATAAAATAGGAAAGTTGTTTAGAAGAGGTACTGAGATGATCTGTAAGGCTATAATAACAAGGGATGTCATAGGGGTGCACAACGTACTGCAAGATCAACTGGCGGTGCAAAATCATCAAGTATTGGTTCTTCATCAACACCTTCAGTTCAAAGTCAACCAAGCATAGGAAGAGAAAGACCAAGAGGTTCAACAAAACAGGTAATACTTGTAAGTTACTTCTATTATATTTTATTTTTTATATAGCTTCTTAATACTTTCACTTGTATATAGGATATTTCTACTAATATGGAAAGAGGGACACTCTGTAAAAGGCCAAGAATGGTTGGTATAAGAATGCTAAATACAGAAATTGGAGTTGTCATCTATAATGTAAGCCTAGAATATGAATTGTGCCTATGAACTCTCTTTGTAATCAAACTTGGATGCAAACTAGCTAATTTTATTTTTGTGAATATAGCCTGGAATGTCAATTGTGCCTATGAACTCTGCAGTAGTGACTGGAGATATTGGAAAAACCAAGAATATCGGTGAAATAGAAAGGTAAAGAAGCTATAACCTCAAAGAAAATTCAATACTATCAAGCTCAGTAAAGAATGGAGACAAGGTCCAAGGTATCTGAAAGAGTCGTTTGAGCCAAATAAGTTCATCAGTACCACAATCAATTTGTCTAATAGACATTATTTGTAATTCAATATTTTTGTTTGTGTTTGATAGTACTAACTGCAGTTGGTATATGTAAGACAACATGCAGATGTGATCTACACTTTGGTGTCTATTTTCTATTTTCTGAAATTGATATGTAATTGTATTCAGCAATGATTGAAAGTTTCTAAGTCCGTTTTCTGCAATGATATGCATCAATGACTGCACTTTTATAATTCTATTTTATGAAATGATATGCAGCAATAACTACATTTTTATTAACACAAAATTTGCACTTTGGTGATTATTTTTCTATTCTTTCTGTCCAATAAGTAAATATATTTAGCAATGACATCACATTTATAAGTCTGTTTTTTGCGGTAATATGCAATATTGATTGCACTTCAGTAATTCTATTTTTCTGCAATGATATGCAGCAATGGCTACAAGTTATATTGAATAATCACACATATTTTCAATTGTAACAAAACAAACTAAATGAACAAAGTGTATTATGTTACAAAAGTTACCCCAAGTTTTTACAAAAAATGCTACAACTAATTGATGCAACACTAAAGAAATTACAATCGTAACAAAGCCTAGGCAACTTTGTTGCAACATTCTCCACATATACTAGATGAAACCAAAAGCTTATAGCTAACACATTCATACAACATAAAAAATCAAAGTATTTTTTTCCTAATCTTGGACTTAACCAATCTGCTCCTCTACTTCGTTTCCCTTTCTTTCATCTTCTCTATCTTTCCCTCCAACTTCTCCAATTGTATCTCTATCTTCTTTTTCACTTGTTTTCTTTCCTTACGCTTCTCAACAGTTTCATAAACTTCTAATTCACTTTCAAGATCACCAATTTTTTCCGCAAGTTTACGAATAACAAATTTCGTTCTTCGATTAATTTCGGCGTCCCTCCAACATAAAAAATCACAAGATCTTGGACTCTACAATGATAAAAATTAAAGAATTATATATAAGTTTAATTAACTAAAGCTTCAACTAAATGACAAAAATTAATGAATCTTCTACTTACCCCATAGTATGGATACACCCAATATCATCTACTCAGATTCGTAAGGGTCCAAACTGTCAACATCCGTAACACCTAAGCATGGTTGTAGCTCACCTTTTCATTTAATACAGGATCAACATCTTTCATATAAAGCATAGCCAAGTTAGTTGACCGCATTATGTGCGACACAGAAAATCAGAAAAAACTCCTAAAATCAGAAGAAATTTCGGCCCACTTAAAATATGCCCTAAAATCAGATGAAACGAAAGCTTTCAGAGAAGAATAAGGCTTTGATTCAGATACAAGGCTTTAATTCAGTTTGGAATTCCATATCTTGGCAAAAAATTATGACTAATTGAAAGTGAGGGAGATTTAGGGTTCTTCACAAAGAGGAGAAAAACTGGATCGGGTAAATTTTTTTACTGTTGAGGTCTGGTTATAAAGTAGATGCACTCTAAACAAAATTTCGTTTTTGTTTAAATTCATTTTATTCGTTAAACTGAGTGTAAAACACGCTCATAAATCATATGATTCCACGCGTTTGGTCTGGTACCATGGAAGGGAAAATATAATTCAGTCAAATTGTGTTTAGGGGGTAAAATATACATATTTAGTTTAAGTATTCAAATGAGTTTTTGGGAAAAGTTTAATAAGATATTTATGTAATTTTTTTCCTTTTTTACAAAGTTTATTGGAAAAAAAAAACAAATCTGGCGAATGAAATAATGCTAGGTATGATAGAAAAAGATATATTATAGACGCGAAAGCATGATGGAAAAAGACATACTATAAATGCGGAAGCAATCCAAAACAATCTTACATACAACAACAATAACAGACTCAACGTAATCTCACAAGTAGGGCCTAGGGAAGGACATTACCCCTACCTTCGAGAAGGCAGAGATGTTATTTTTCGGAAGACCCTCGGCTTAGGAAAAATAAAAAGAAGGGTAGCAGTAAGAACACCAATTAGAAAACCGAAGCAAAAATACAAAGGTACAAAACTAAAATTAAGTACTATAATTAGAATGTCGGAGTGACAGCAACGACAAGTAAACAAAGAAGTCAACGAATATGAAAATACATAAATAATGCTAACTCGTGTAGTAAAGCTATTGTTACAGACAAGGACTGTCATGACCTAGTTTCTCCCACCGTGAACTGTCATGACGACACCTAGTCTCTACGACTAGGTAAGCCTAATATTACGGAAATGAAATGAAAACACAAGGATAATAGCTAATAGATATAATTATCAAGTAGAAACGGTGCCACTCGACACATACAATAATCATCTTTCCCAAAACCCAAAATGTCGCCAGTCACAAGCTTCTAAGAGTTTCTAACTGCTCTATACATTAATGTCTAAAGAAAATAAGGGAAATATTAACACAAGGGATAGAAGGGGACTCCGAAGTATACGGACGCGGGCAGATATCCCTTGAAGTCTTCTGAAGCAGCAACCACACAGCTAAACTTGAGGCTGATAGCTAGTATCTAGATCTGCACATGGAAAATATGTGCAGGAAAAGGCATGAGTACACCACAACGGTACCCAGTAAGTGCTAAGCCTAACCTTGGTCGAGTAGTGATGAGATCAGATCATGACCCTACTGGTATAAATATAATGAAATAAGACAGAAAGAAATATTACAGTAAAATAAGTACGGAAATCTAATAGGAATAGAATTCAATGAAAGCTAACAGCTCAGAACATAGTTATAGCAACAGGGGATCTCCCAGAATACCGTCCCGTAGTTCCAAATGTAAATGTGCAGGGGGATCTCCTGGAATACCATTCCGTAGTCCCAAAGTAAATATGCAGTGCTGGGGGATCTCCCGAAATGCCGTTCCGTAGTCCCAAAGTAAATATGCAGTGCAGGAGGATCTCCTGTGGAATACCATTCTGTAGTCCCAAAGTAAATATGCAACTCAATCAATATTAACAATAGTTACAACAGGGAGACCTACAGTTTAGGCTAAGTTCACATCAAAGAAAACAAGTAATTTCACTAAACATGTTGCACAGAGTTCAAATAGGCGTTTAAAACACGTAGGCATGCTTTTTTAATCTAAACAAGGTAGTTACATATGCTATTGTAGTTCAAACAAGGAGAAAACAGGTTATGACTTAGTGAAAAATGGAGTTTTACAACAAATATCCCGTGTACGTACTTGTTACCTCATACACGGTATTCATATATCAAACAATACCAAATCCTAAGGGGAGTTCCCTCACACAAGGTTAGATAAGCCACTTACCTCGAACAAAGCTCAAATCAATCTGACACAATGCTCTTTCCATAAATATCCGGCTCTGGATGTCCCGAATCTTGCCAAATCAATTACATAATGTAAATATAGCTACAAACAACTAATTTAGCTAATGAAATCAAAGTTAAGGCAAGAAAATAGAAAAACGCCCAAAAAGCCTCCCTGAGCTCACGTCTCTGAATCGGGTAAAAGTCACAAATTATGAACACTCATTCACTCACGAGTCTAACCATACCAAATCCACTCAAATCCGATACCAAAATCTCGACCAAACCCCTAAAATTTGGCCTAAAAACTTTTCTCAAATTTTCTCAATTTTCCCCCCAAATTTGGAATTAAATGATGAAATCAAGTATAGATTAATGGGATAAATCATAAAGGAGTTAGGAATCATTACCCAATAACTTCCACAGAAAATCTCTCCAAGTTTCGCCTTCTACCGAGCTCTCAATCAAATTTTGTTATATGAACTCAAACTCTCATTTTTTAACTTTAAATTCTTCCCAGGTGCGTTCTTCTTCGTGAACGCGACATCACCATCGGGAACGTGATGAACAATCTTCCACTGGCCCAAAATTCCTCCTTATCGAATGCGAGGGGCCTCTTGCGAACGCGTACCTTTCACTAATGGACCGGGAACATCTTGGCGAACGCGTAGGCTTAATGCCTGAAGCTCCCTCTGCCCCATTCCTCTACGTGAACGCGAGGATCATATCGCGAACGCGTAGGCTAAAGGTCCCACACCTTCGCGAATGCGGGAACAACATTGCGAATGCAAAGAACAACTTAGCTACCTTTCCCATATGCTTTACGCGATCGTGAGACCCTTCTCGCGAACGCGCTGAAGGATTTTCTGCAACAAAACACCATAAATTTGCTACTTCTCTAAGTCCAAAAATGACCTGTTGAGCATCCGAAATACACCCGAGGCCCTCGGGACCTCAACCAAACATACCAACCAATCCTAAAATACCATACGAACTTAGTCGAGCCCTCAAATAACATCAAACGACGCTAAAATCACGAATCACCCTCCAATCCAAACTTTAAGAACTTGGAACTTCTAAATTCTACAACCGATGCCGAAACCAACCAAACCACATCCGATTGACCTAAATTTTTCACACAGGTCATATTCAACACTAGGGACCTACTCTAACTTCCGGAATTAGATTCCGACCCCGATATAAAAAATTTCACTACTGGCCCAAAACTCCAAAAATTTGACTTTCACCATTTCAAGCCTAAATGAACTACGGACCTCCAAAACACAATCCAAACACGCCACTAAGTCCAAAATCACCCAATGGAGCTAACAGAATTGGCGAAACTCCATTTCGGAGTCGTTTTCACACAGTTCCGACTACGATCCAAATCTTAAGACTTATCCCAGCAAGTCAAAATAGAAATAATTGTTCGTCCTCGAATGACCATAGAGACATACCTGAAGTGGTAAAAAGGCAAGGATAACGGCTACGCATATCTTGCTCGGTCTCCCAAGTCGCCTCCTCTACCGGCTGACTCCGCCACTGAACCTTCACTGATGCAATGTTCTTTGACCTTAGCTGTCGAACCTTCCTGTCTAAAATAGCCACTACTTCCTCAACATAGGATAGATCCTTCTCCAACTGCCTGAGCTAAAATCCAACACATGAGACAGATCGTCGTGATACCTCCGGAGCATCGAAACATGAAATACCGGATGAACTTCTACTAGGCTGGGAGTTAAGTCAAGCTCATAAACAACTTCCCCAACACGCGGCAATACCTCAAAGGGGCCAATAAACCTTAGGCTCAGCTCGCCCCTCTTTCTGAATCTCATAAAGCCTTTCATAGGCGAAACCCGGAGCAAGACCCGCTCTCCAACGATGAATGCCACATTGCGAACCTTTCGGTCTGCATAACTCTTCTGTCTGGATTGGGCTATGCGAAGTCTATCCTGAATCACCTTAACCTTCTCCAAGGCATCCTGAACCAAGTTCGTACCCAATAATCTAGCCTCACCCGGCTCAAACCAACCCACTGGGGACCGACACCACCTAGTATACAAAGCCCCGTAGGTGCCATCTGAATGCTAGACTGATAACTGTTGTTATATGTGTTGATACCCAATTTCTCCCTCTCATATATATATATATATATATACATATATATATAATAGTGCATGTATATCATCATTTTGATTTATGAGCATACACAAGTATTTTTTATAATTTTTTATAATTTTTTAAGGCTTTAAATTAATTTATTTCTGGGTTTTATTATATAAATATCCAATAATTACTCTACAAATTATTTTTAAATAATTTAATCATTTATACCAATATGAGGTCTTAAATATCTTCAGTGCATTACATTTGCATTTTTAAGGCTAAATTGCATAATTTTGCAATAATAGCCATATGCATATATAATTATATTATTTATACAGAAAATGACTTTTTATATTTTTATAATATTAAGTAATTATTTTAAATCATTTCTATTCACAAGTTATATTTTTTGTTATTTATTTATTATTTTTATAAATTATTAATTTAATTAAAATTGGATATTTAAAATCTGACCCTAATTTCATACTAATTTCTGATCTAACTACGCAAACATAGCCCAATTACCCCAAGCCCAACACTAGTGACCCACTACCCACACCCATTTAATTAACCCGACCCAACCCTTATCCCAGCCGTTGATAATATACGATCAACGACTCATGAACGCCTCCCCATTTCCTTATATCACTTGACCCCAAACCCTAACCCCATTCCCTTCAAACCAGCCGCCTCTCTATTCTCTCCCCTCTAAAGAACCCTAACCCGCCGCCTCTCAAAAACTCCTTTCCTAATCCCTCTTCTAATGGGATTTTCTTCCCATTCACTTACCATATTCGTATATTTCCATTACTGGGTGAATCTCTACGGTATTACCTAGTACTTGCCTAAACATGGCAAGTACTCTTACTTTGATTCTGTCTGATTGACTTTCATCTCTTGAATCTGGACGATATTGCATCCACACACGTTTATTCTACACCGTGTGAGTCCGATTTGTTCATATTTTGCTGATTTGTATTTAACCCTAAAGCTAGGGTTTACAGATTTTCTTTGATTCGAACCAAAATTGACTCAAGCCTTTGATTTTAAGTATTATCTCATCTATATTTGCTCTATTATGTGTAAATTTAATAGTTTCTGT